AGCAAACACGCCAGCACGCACGCCACTTACGGGGACAAGAAGTGGTACAACCGGAACAGACCGGGAAAGAAAGAACGCCAAGCTGGTGAAACCAGTAGAAACATACCCATGCCAGCTGAGGTGTGGCGTGAGCTTGCTTGGCAAGGCAAAGACAAAGGCAAAGGAAAAGGGGCTTCCAAAAGTGACGTGCCTACTGGCAAGGGCCAAGCCAGAGAGGCCCCAGCGGAGACACCTCGCCCAGAGGAGAATCCCCGTCCAACTCCTCCCCCGCCTCCTTTGCCAAAGCGACCCCATGAAGGGCAATCGCCTGTGGTAGCTAAGTCTAAGCCTGACCAAGAGCAGTACTCTTACTACAGCTCAGAGTCTCCCAAGACGCCTGCCGAACCTTCCTCTTCTGTTGGTGTTGGGAATCCAGCTTCACTCAACAAGGAAGAGCTCAAGAGGAAAATAGAACTGGTAAAGGCTGGTGAACCAGCCCCAGCCAGCAAGCCAGTTAAGAGCCCTTCCTCAGAAAGCTCCCTATGGCAGCCCGATCTGGAGAAGATAATCCTGGTGTGAACCAGGCAATGGAAGTGGAAAAGTGTGAGCCCAAAGCAGAAGGGCAGGAAAGTGGCCAGGCCGAAGTAAAGGTCCCTCCTGAAGAAAACCCTGGTGACGATCTGGAGGTCAAAGCAGAGAACCAGGAGGGAGAGAGCAGCCCTTATGGGCCTGTGGACACGCCAGAGGATGACAGCAGCTGCTTCGAGCCTGTGGTCCTTCGGGAAGGGCCTGCGGCTGGCCCTGCAAGATCTCCCGCGCCAGACTATGAGAAAACTATGTCGTTCGTGGTTCAGATGCGGAAGGATGTGCGGCCGTGCCACTCCCGCTACCTCCCTGAAATGGAAAATCAGCACGGTTTCCCAGGAGACGGAGAAGAAAGTGTTTAACCTCCTGGGTGGAGTGACTCCTGGAGCAGTCAAGGACCTGGGCAACCACAAGCTCAGGGAAGAAGGCAAAGGAGCGGCCGAAGGAATCTTGGAAGTCACGGTCCTTCAAGTGGAAAGGGTCAGCCCTCTCCGGGCCTTAAACAATTTCCTGGTGATCCAGGCTGCCTTCACTCTGGCTTTGGTGGCAAAGATCCGAAAAGTCTGGATGCTCAAACCTCTCCCCTTGGACGGCGAGCTTTCAAAATACACAGGGAGATACTGGTGAGCCCAGAGCCACAGGAACTGGTGACTACCAGTTACGGATTCCTGGGGTGCCCAGGATACCAGGCTGGGCTTCCCAGCACTGGTGAGATGGGCCAAAGTTTCGGCCAAAGTGTTCTAGGGCCACTGGTGACTACCAGTCCTGGTATCCAGGTTCCAGGTAGCTTAAACAACCAGCACCCCTGGTGGTAGCTGGTGCCACTAGGAAGCTGGAAAAGGGGAAAAGCCCCTCCCTACTAAAACGGTAGGTCCCGACCCGTTTCACCCGCCGAAGGCAGCGACTCGTCCCGCCCGCCGAGAAGAAGAAAATCTGTAACATTACCTGCGGCATGACAGCTTACAACCAGTTTCCCATGTGCCATGGAACGAGATTTTGTTTTCCCAAACCAATGTGCAGTTGTGGTGCATGTGAAGACATGAGCATGTTTTTGCCACGATGTGACTTTTTAGCAGAAAGAGCCTTTTGAGTGAGAAGGGTGTGATATACAAGTATATCACACCGTCTGTGGCATCAGCGAAGCTTGACCGCGCGTTTTGTCTGCATCAAGTATGCAGAACTCACAAGTTCGGAGAGCTGTGAAGCAGCTAAGTAGGTCAGACTAAAGCCAGGACACTTCTCTTGAGTGCGAAAGTGCTGTGTAGGTTGTGCGAGGTGTGTTTGTGTTGGTAAGTTTCTACACAGCCCGTAGCCAATTTCTGAATTCTGGAAACACGCGGGCGTGCTGGATCACGTACTGTGGACAGAAGTTCCTCCACCCGTTCTTCCCACGCACGTTGACTTTGGAGGCTCCACAAGCCCAGAATCCGCAAGGACAGGCTAGCTCTGGTCACACTGCCCGCAGCAAAAGCATTAGAGGCCGTAACGTACCGCACTCATGCTATGTGATGCTCCACAACACGCAAACACACAGCTCCTTGCGGCATGTTGCGCCTGGCAACTGAAAAATGGGGAAGGCAAATCGCGGGCCTTCGCCGCTGTGGCGGTCCAGCGTCAGCCGAGGTAGTAGGCGAGGTAACCTTGACGGCCGCGACCGTCGACGTCGCGATGATGGAAGAGATGTAGTGGGACACTTTCCACCCTTTTGCAAATGCCTTGTTGGCAGCCAGGTAGGGTGAGTGGCGATTTTGATGCCAGCATGAAACTCTAGGATCCAGTTGACGCCTTGAAGATGGCGATTGCCCTGCATGAAGAGGCGCTTGGATGGGCGCGCGGCGCCTATAAGCAATGCGCCAACTCCACGTCACATGCCTTGAGCTTGGCTTGTGTGGCCTCCCGGGTTCCGGACTCTTCATGGCAAAACGGCGGCCGGCCGAACCATATTGGTACGGCAGTGGCAGCAAAAGCGCGCTTACTGATTTGGCGCACCTGCGTGCCTTGCCCACGCTCGCGGATGCGTTGTGGAGGTAGCAAGGTTCGCCGCCCTGTTGGGCGAAGTCGCCCGCGGGACTGCAAGGCCTGGATTCGGTGTCTTCGCGCTCGAGCCCCTGAACGCCGTTTTTGGGACGCTAAAAATCACAAACTAGTCCCATAAGGCTTTATAACCTTTTTGGTAGGTTTCGAAAGTTTTGAAGAAGTTTTTCGAAACCGCTTCATGTGTCATGAGATTCCATTTGAACTTTTATGAATCTTTGTTGTTCCGCGCATGCTCAAACATAGGGTGGGTGGGCGGGAACCTTCCGTGCAGCAAAGTTTGTACGGGGGGTAAGAGAGATTTGTGTAGAACACGGGCTCCGGGCCAAGCTGTGTGAAACAGGTTTCGGGCCCGAGAACCCCTGGTGTACCGCCTTAGTGGCGCATGGGCAGCTTCTCGTGCGATGGCAGAGAAGAGGACGTTTGATGCTGCATTCGATGGGCATCTTGCCCATGTCGTGCATCAGAATTCTACGAGCAGCTCAAAGCAACCATGGGAGAGAAGCATTGTTAATGTGCCGAGTGTTTTGCCGAGTGCATTTCTGGGAAAGGGGCGTCTTGGGAATGTGCTTACTCATACAGCTGCTGCTCCTGTGAAAGCTCCGAGTGGCCCGCCGGCTATAAATCTGACTGCCACTGGCGGCAAGCTGCCACGGAAGGTTGGGCCTTCTTGGGTTCAGAGACAGTCGGATAACAGGCATGCGGCTGTCATGAAGTGGCTTCGGATTGCGAAAGAGGGCGGCGACTTCTTCGGGGTCTGTGCCAGAGTGGCGAAGGATGCTGAAGCTGGATTGCCGGCCTCCCTGCAGGAGTCTCTAGGAGATGTTTTCTCGCTTAAGGCGAGCAGTACGCTTCACAGCAGGGCGGGCCCGGTCCTAAGATACATGGCATTCTGCTGGCGCATCAGAGAACAGCCTTTTCCTTTGTCTGAGCAGAAGATGTATCGCTTCGTCAAAGAGTATTGCAGTGGAGCTGCTCCTACCTTTGCATCCAGCTTTATGAGTTCCGTTGGCTTCATGCAATATGTCTTGGAGGCGAAGGTCCCGGACGGTTGTGTTAGTAGCAGGTTGGCTGGCGCGGTTTCGAAGCTCTACTTGGAGAAGAGAAAGCTGCAACAGAAGCCGCCATTGACGGCTTCACAGGTGCGGGCTCTGGAGCGAATCGTGCTTGGACTTATGCCTGAAGTCCGCACAGATGTCGATCGCTACGCGGCCGGGTGCTTTTTATATTGTGTGTTTGCGAGAGCCCGTTTTTCGGACATGCAGTGTTCTGGCGAGCTGGCGAAGGACGTCGTGCAAGGAGAAGACGGACCGCGCGGTTACCTTGAAGCGAGAGTCACCAGGAGCAAGACGAGTCATAATCTGGAGCGCAAAACCCGATATCTTGCTATGGTCAGCCCTATATGGGGTCTCGAGCAGGATTCTTGGGCGATGGCCTGGATGGAGGTAGCCGGCAGGGCTGGGCCTGCATGGGGGCCTGACATGCCCCTGCTACCGTCCCCCACCGAGGGGGGCCAATGGCAGAAGGCGCCTATGTCTGCGCAAGCCGGAGCGCGGTGGCTTCGCCACCTTCTCTATCGTGCAGGCGAGGATGTTTCGTTGGTCAAGGCCGCTGGTACTCACTCCTGCAAAGCTACGCTCTTATCTTGGATGTCTAAGTGGGGAGCTAGTAAGGAAATCCGGTCGATACTCGGATATCACTCCAGTGCCAACGCCGGCACGGATGTTATCTACGCGAGGGACAGCGTCTCCCCTGCGTTGCGTGAGTTGGAGGAAATGGTTTCTGCGGTCGCTTACAGGCGGTTCTTCCCGGACGCCACGCGCTCGGGCATGTTTGCGGAGTCTTTGGCTGCCAGGGGAGAAGCTCATGACAAGGCCGAGGTCGGCTCAGATTCTTCTTCCGACAGGAGCGATGATGAGGAGGAGCCAGATACTCTCGAGGAGGAGAAGGTCGTTGAGGACAGTGTCGGCGAATTTGAGCCGAGCGGCTGCCTTCGAGAGAATCTGGAGGGCAAGACGGTCTTTCGGCATGTTACCACCCGCTTCATACACTTGGTCGCTTCTGAGGAGGGCACAAATTTTAAGTGTGGCAGACAGATTACATCGTCTTACTTGGAGTGCAACGCGACTCCCAGGTTTTTGCATCCAATCTGCAGGCAGTGCTTTCCAGAGGCGAGGTGAGGGATCGATAGGCTGGCTGGCTGGAGTGCCGCCATGCGAATTTTGTAAGCCTCTCATCGCGAGAGCCCGCGAAGGCGGGATGAATATGCGCACGGAATACAAGGAGCGCTGCACTTGGCATTGCGTGGTCTCAACAGTTCAGAGTCGCAAATGCCGCCTTGTGATTTCAAGTGAGAGTCGCTCGAGCTACTTGAAGGTAGGCCAGTTCTGAAGGAGCGAGCCATGGCTTCCGCATACTCGGAGTCCGAGCCAGTTCTGGTGTCCCGTCTCTCGAAGGCGGGCTTCGAGCAGGCTGAGCGCGATCTCATCCTGAAGCACGTTAAGAGCTTGAAGCAGTTGGCCTTCGTGAGCTCCTTTGCTCCGGGGGCTGCGGACGAAGGTCCGTTGATCGAGGCCCTTAAGACGATGCTTGGAAAGGACCCAGAGATGAATCAGAAGGCAGCTTTCAGAGCAGTTTTCCATGAGGCGTATGCCATTGTCACTTCGGAGATGCGACAGCAGGTTGAAAGGGTCGAGGAGCCGACAGTTCGTCATTTGAGTCAGCCCGAGAGGGCTGAGAGAATTGAGCGACAGCGTTCACAGTTGACTGGCATCACGATAAAGGGTTCCTCGGAGCCATCAGAGGCCCTGGTCGACCTTTGCGTCGGTCAGTATGAGGCCAATGTGATCCAGTATGTCCCTTGGTCTAAGTGCACGTCGCGGGAACAGGAGCTCCTGGGCGACGGTAAGAAGGACCTGAAGCTTTCGATAGACGGCGAGAGTGGTAAGCTCAAGGTAGAGAACAAGGCCAAGGATCAGGTGGCTGACACGTCCACTGAAGTGATGCTTCTGCAGGCTCTGCAGAGGCGTGCTCTTGCATTCGATCAGGCTAACATTGTTTCTTTCACGAAGCTTGACATGTGGCATCAAAAGTTGATGAAGGCGAGGCTGACTACGCCCCCGCCGGGTTACCAGCAGGTTACCTTCGCTCAGTTGCAAAATGCAGACTCGAGGCTCTTTTTGGAGCTTCAGGACCATACGCGCACAGGCATTCAGTCGGATGCCAAAGGCCGTCCGATCGATGGGATCATAGATTCTGTCAGCTGCATGCATGAGGTGGTTTCGCAGATGCAGCCGCTCCAGGGCGGCCCCTCGTCTTCGTACGGTCCCAGTGAGCCTGCTCGTCTGCGAGAGTCGCCGTACAAAGGTAAGGGCAAGGGCAAAGATGGCAAAGGGAAGAAGCGCTTCGTTGCCATGCCAAGCGAGCTTCGTGGGTGCAATTCGCACACCGCGAAAGGGCACCCGATCTGCTATGCCTTTAACCTGGGGTCATGCCCGAACAAGGTGACCGGCAATAAATGTGAGAAGGGATTGCACATCTGTGCAGTCCCCAAGTGCGGCATGAACCACGCCGCTGTCAAGTGTCCCAAGAAGCCGAAAGATGGCGAGCAGGCGGGCGCTTGACTATCAAGTTCAACCCCGGCCCCGGGTGCAAAAGGGTCGGCGGCAGGGTCTGGGGGTGGCGAAGGCCATTCTCGAGCAATCCAGCAAGTGCTTACGGCCCATCCCGAAGGGGATGAGCCTCTTTTGAGTGCGCCCGAAGGGGCCCAAGCAGTGCCGTTTGAAGGGCAAGGATCGAAACTCGATCCGAAAGTGCATGCGGACTCTTATGCTGAGGAGCTTCTGTCTTTGGGCAGGGATCCCACGGCCCAGGAGTTAATTCGTTTGTTTGACATGCTGCCTCAGGAGCCGCTTTTGAGCAATACTCGTAACGATGGAGCCGTGGCCTTCTCGACTGGTGCCTATGTGAAGGGGCCGCTGCTCGGTCTCAGGAGCAACTGCAACAAGCATCCGGCGGCTTCGAGGGTTTTCGCTCAGGCAGTGCAACGCGCTGCCCCAGGGATGCAATTTTCTACTCTGAGTGTGTTTTCAGACCTTAAGACGGAGCCTCATGTCGACCGCTTCAACTCTCCTTTCCCGAACATTCTTGTGCCACTCAGCAATTTTCGGAAAGGCGAGGTCTGGGTCGAGTCGGCTCAGGGCGTTTTTCCTCTTGAGGTCGATGGTGTTACGAAGCGTGGCATCTTGATCGATGTTGCCTCCGGACCGAAGGCCTTCTATGCTTGCAGCCATGTGCACGCTACACGGCCGTGGAGCGGTCGACGCGTGGTCATAGTTGGGTTTTGCGTTGCTAGGGTCCAGGAGCTTGATGTTGAATGTAGGGCGCGGTTAGCTGAGCTGAGCTTCCCTGTTCCCAAAACGGCGCCCAACTTTAGTCCGGATTTGATCGAAGTCGGGGGAACCTTTCATGACCTCAGAAGTTCTCAAGTGGATGAGGCATGTGATGCCCTCCCGGCTCAACTGCAAGTCGCTTCTTTGATGTGCCTTGACCTCTTTTGCAATGCAGGTGAGTTTGGAGCCTCCTTGAGGGCCGCCGGATTCGATGTGCTCGCGGTCGAACAACCGCACCTAAAGCAGAGAGCTCTGATCAGCGTTGTGTCGTTGGATCTCAGGAAGGCTGCCTCATGGGATTTTCTAGTTAAGGTTGTACTCGCTAGGAGGGTCGTCTTTGTGCTTGCTGCCCCCACTGTGGCCGCTTCTGCGGGCGAACTTCCAGCAGGTTTTGCCCAGGTGTCGTCCGAACTCAGCTCTTTCTTGGCTTTCCTCGCCACTCTTGATATCGGATGGTGCGTCTTGAATCCGCTGAACAGCCGACTGTGGTCGACTTTGGCTCTGCCTGCCTCGCAAGCTGTGAAGTTCGACCTATGTGCCCATGGTGGCGAGCAGCACCGCCAGATGCTGTTGCATACTAACGTCCAGACTTTAAGCGCTCTCGCTGTGTCGGCCGACGACAATCAGGAACCTTCTAGAGCCTTCCAGTCAGTGACTTCACTGCGGGCCCGGCCGCGTTTGTTGTGCAGTCGGCTCGCCGCCCAGGTAGTTGTTTTCGCGGGTTCACTAGGGTTTGCTGTGTCCCCTGATGCAGTCAAGCCATCTGCCAATCATCGGTCCTCCATTGCAGTGCAGCGACAGCCCAAGGTCTCCAAGGTGCCGCCGCTCATGCCCGAATACAAGCATCGGGTTACTTTGCAGATTCCGTCCATGGACGCTCTACGTTATGATGCGAAAAACTCCTTGACGGCCGCTTTTCAGTCGGTGCCTGTCGGTGCCCGCATCCTTCAGGTGGTGCCTGTGCAAGGGGGCGAGGGTCCTTCAGATTCGGGCTTTAGGGTTACGTTTGGGGTTTACAGGACCGAGGATGAGTTCGTCAGGACAGCAATTACTCTATCTCATCCTTTCGACCTGTCTTCTGCAGTGCCGGACGAGATGCTCGAGATTCTTGCGTTCACCCTCACGAAAGGGCCCTTGGCAGTCATGAGGCGCCACGATAATCGACGACATCGAGAATGGCTTTGAGCTCGTGGGTGAGGCCAAGCTTACAGGCATCTTTGAGGTGGACCCGAAACCCTCTTCGATGTCCGTTGACGAGTTGCTTGAGCACGCTAAGTTCTTGAAGCCAGCCCTGTGGGGCAAGGTGTCGGGCGATGCGAGCCACCCGGATGATCAGGAGCTCTGGGATCTCACTTGTGCTGAAGCTGACAAGAAAGGTTGGTTGCATGGACCCTACACGTGGGAGCAACTGCAGAACATGTTTGACTCCAAGTGGATACCTGTGCGCAGATTCTCCATCAGACAAAAGAACAAATTGCGGCCCATCGACGACCTGTCCGAGAATGCCGTCAATCAAGCTTGGGCAGTAATGGAGAGGATCGGTTTGCGTGCGCTTGATGAAATCACTTGGGCATGTATGGCTTTGATGAGGGCCAGCTTGGGGCGACGCGAGGTTTTCTTCCGGAAGTCCGACGGCTCCGTCTTGTCGGGGCCTTTGCATTCGTATTGGCACCAGGACGCTCGCCGCTGCTCGCCGGTCTTGAAGACTACGGATCTGCGCTCAGCTTATAAACAGTTCGCTATACGGCCGGAACACCATCGGATGTGCGTGGTGACCTTGAAGGATCCGGCGGACGGCTCAACAAAGGGGTTCGTCTGCCGCGTGTTGCCGTTCGGGGCCCTGGCCTCGGTCGGTCAGTTCAACAGGTTTTCGAGGCTGTGGCAAAGGATTCTCTGGGAGCTGAAGCTCGCTGCGGCGAGCTACTTCGACGATTTCCCGTCGGTGGAGGTCAGGGCCCTTGCCGAAAACCATGACTCCTCCGTGAAGGCAGCGTTGCGCCTTTTTGGAGTTGACTGGGCGAGCGACAAGGACCTTCCCTTCTCACCGACGGCCGATGTTTTGGGCGTCCGACTGGATGCGACGGATATGGAGGGCGGAGTGCTGAGGGTCAAAAACAAGCCAGAAAGATCCAAGGAAATTGCCTCTTCGATCGATAAGATCCTTGCGGATGGCTGTATTGATCCGAAGCAGATCCCCTCTTTGTTTGGCCGGATACAGTTTTCGGAAAGTCAGTTGATGGGCCGACAGGGGCGCCTGGCTTTGGCTCAGATTCGCTGGCTTTCGAGTGCTCGTCACCGTCATGTTCTGTCTTCCCTGGACGCCACTGTCTTCAGAAGCTTGAGGGAGAGGATGCTTGAGGGCAGGCCGCGCGAGATCCAGGTTCTTCCCATTGGCGGCCAGACTCTTGTTTTCACTGACGGTGCATGCGACAAGCTGGGGGACAAGTTTAGCTGCTCAATCGGAGGTGTCATGTATCGGGTGCTGCCAACTGGTTTTCGCGAGACGAGGGCGTTCGGGTGCTACCTGGACGAATCGGTCGTCGAGCAATGGGCGGGACTGGGCAAGAGACACCTGATAGGTCCTACCGAGCTTTTCGCGGTGGTGGCGGCCAGACATGTCTGGAAAGATTTCCTGAATGATCAGAGGGTCGTCTTTTACGTGGATCACAGTGGTGTTTTGTCTGCGATGATCAAAGGGTCTTCCCGCGATGATCTCTGGAGGAGCATCTTGCTTCACTACGAGTGTGCCGACTCGATGGGGCCAGCGATCTCGTGGTTCGCTCGGGTCCCGAGCAAGTCGAACCCCGGCGATGGGCCTTCGCGGTCCGACTGGAGATTCCCTGTTTTCGGCGAGTACTTCGAAGATCGGATTGTGTGCTTCATAAGCGGCAGAGTTCTCAAAGTCACGGGGCAAAGAGTGCAGGGGTGAAAGATGCCCCATAACTTTTCCACGAGCCCGGAGGGGCTGTTGGCGAAGTGCCAACATGTGTTGGGATCCCGAGGGGGATCCGGAGCATGCACTTCTTTCCCCGAGAGGCTTTGCCAAACCGAAAGAAAAGAACCTGTTGAGCGTAGTTTGTCCGAGTGCTGCTTTTTCTATGAGACTCGTAAGCTCTCTAACAGGCCTCATTTCCACTTTATATATATGCGATTGAAAGACATATTCGAGTGGACTTAAAGAAAGGCCCGCATGATACATGAAGCCACATTGGTTATAAGCCGTTTTTGGGACGCTAAAAATCACAAACTAGTCCCATAAGGCTTTATAACCTTTTTGGTAGGTTTCGAAAGTTTTGAAGAAGTTTTTCGAAACCGCTTCATGTGTCATGATATTCCATTTGAACTTTTATGAATCTTTGTTGTTCCGCGCATGCTCAAACATAGGGTGGGTGGGCGGGAACCTTCCGTGCAGCAAAGTTTGTACCCACCACTCCCACCCAAACTTTGCGGGGTGAAAGATGCCCCATAACTTTTCCACGAGCCCGGAGGGGCGGTTGGCGAAGTGCCAACATGTGTTGGGATCCCGAGGGGGATCCGGAGCATGCACTTCTTTCCCCGAGAGGCTTTGCCAAACCGAAAGAAAAGAACCTGTTGAGCGTAGTTTGTCCGAGTGCTGCTTTTTCTATGAGACTCGTAAGCTCTCTAACAGGCCTCATTTCCACTTTATATATATGCGATTGAAAGACATATTCGAGTGGACTTAAAGAAAGGCCCGCATGATACATGAAGCCACATTGGTTATAATGCCCAGGTGCCATCCGCACTTTACCTTACAATACACTTCCACTCTTTCTTACTGCAAATGCTCGGGACTGATGGTCTGGGGTTTCGGCTGCTGCCTTCCATGCTCGCCGCGCACAGTGAAGTGACAGATTCACTGCTTCTAGCAGCCGGCTCCGTGCCTTGGATTTACCCGATGCCACCATGCACCAGCTCTTTGCGCACGCCGTAGAGAGCTTCAGCTTAGCCCACCCGCAAGGCGACTGGGCCACACCACCTCCGAAAGTTTTGGAAGGAAAACAAGGCTCGTCTCTTGCACTCCCTTTGCGAGGATGCCTTCATTGATCCGGATTATGCTATGCGGCATCAATAGACTGCTTTTTGCCTTCTCCCAATCTACACGGAGTCGCAGCAACTCTTAGCGGTACTCCCAATGAGAGTGGGAGAGGTCATACTGATGTTCGCCACCGCTGCTGGCCTTCCTACCCTTGCACCCATTGTCACTTGTCTTTGGACTTTTGGACTTTGGTGTGCACGACGCGCCTATAAACAGGGCACAAGGGTAGTCCGAACAGCTACCAGCGCCTTGGTCTTGGGCTCCACTCATTGTCTTGGGTGACTTTGGATGACGGTCCACTGTCGCCTTTGCTGAGTCGCTGAGCGAGCGAGACCCCTCTTTTTATTTGCTGAACAGCTCATGCTGACGAAGTCCGCGCGCTGCAGCAGGTACATAACCTCGCTCTAATTACCCCGTTTCACCGCTGTTTTCTTGTGTGTTTGTTTGTTTGTTTGTCCGTAGTTTACTGGGACCGAGCGCTTCAGCTGCAGCCAACGAGACCCGCCTGCGCCAAACAAATCGCACGCAACGCAACTGCTTGGCAGACGATTGGCGTCTGTTTGCTTAATGATGGGCCAGCATGCTTTGTAAGTTGTAGCCATGAGTGGTGTGGTGCAATCGCTGCGAGGTGATGCTCTGGTCGTCTGTAGGGCGGCCTTGGTACTGCCGCCTCCTTTGTCTTGTAGTAGCTCGTCCGTACGGCTGCTAAAGACGTGACAGGTCGTGCAAGGAGGGAACCGAAGATGGTCCCGCTTTCCAAGAGTGCAACATCGCGGTGACTCTGGCGGTATGCTGCCTGTTGGCGTGCCGAAAACGCAGGCCAGATCGACCCCAAACCGCCGTTCGAACGGAAGATGTTCTCCACAGTGGAGCTAGCGCTACACGGACCGCCAGTGAATTTCCCGCAAATATCCGACTGGCATCTACTCCATGGACCAATGGAGCCTTTCAGCCTTGAAACTGGTGGACTATGTGCGTGGCTGCTTGGACTCCATTGATCCTTCAGGGGACCCCAGTTCGTCGATTTTGCATGCTACCTGCGTGAAATGAGTGTCGAGTTGGGTGGCTTTATCTGGATCTATCTGAGTCGACTTTGGCCGTCAAGAAACAGCGCTTCAACTGTGACAAATGGAAGGGAGTCCCCTGCGTTCTGCTTGGCGGTGTCCCCATTTGCACATTTCATGCATATTGCAACAGCCCCTGGGCTCTCTCCTGTCTGGTTAGGAGAGCTTGCCTGTTGGGCATGGCTTGGCGATATATTCCGGTAGAGCCCATGGCCTAAACGGACTGCTCTGCACTTGTTCAGTGGCTGCAGGCACATAATTGAGCATCGGCTCGGCCAGGCAGGGTCGCTGTTCGCCGCCGAGGGTTGCGCTCAATTGCTGCAGGCGATATGGCGCCCCTTGCGTTCTGCTCGGCGGTGGCTCGATGTCTTTGCTTGTCGCACTGCAGGATAGTTGGCTTCTGGCAATACCAGGCCTTTTATCCGCCGCGACTGGTTGTCTTCCGGATGGGTTTTGGGCTTTTCTGCAGGCTTATGTCTTGTCATGCTTGGAAGCTGGCTCGGCACAGCCTGCCGGAATATGCTTATGCTTATGCTCATGCAGTTTTGGTTGGTGGTTTGCCATCATGGTGAGCCCTGACGCCAACATTGGCGCATGTGTGCTCTATGGGTATCGCTCACTATGCACTATGGAGAGCAGACCGATTTGGACATGCTGGACGCAGACAATGCGTTTTCCAAGGATTACGGTGTCCAGGGACATCTGGGAGGGGCCATTCGATTTACCAGACTTGAGTTGGAACCGTTGCTGCCCGTATCTTATGCGGCCTTTACGCCCTCCATGCTTTACGGAGAGCAGGCCAAGATGGACATGCTGGATGCGGCCATTGCGCTCTCCAGGGTTTACGGAGAGCAAGGCCATCTGAGAGGGGCCGTTGTATGAGGCCTAATGCATGTTGCAACACCAGTGCGGGCAACGTAGCTGAACGACTTCTGCCGGCTTAAAGCCTGCACGTCGCAGCTTGTTTCACTGTCTTTTGTGCTTGTTTTCTTAGTTTGCCTTGCTTCTTGTAGGACCGAGAGCTACTGACGCAGTCGACGAGGCCCACCCACGCAAAAAACAAAAGCGTAGTCTCTGGCTGTTTTGTTGCTGGGGCAAGTCCTTCTCTGATTCGGCCGGAACCCGCGCCAAAACGGGGTCTAGAAGGCTCAGGGCTGGCTTTTACTTTTAGAAGGCCAAAAAGTGCCCGCAAAATGCGCGCAAAATCTTTTGGACCATGGTGCGGCCTGGCGGGGTCGGAGTTTGCCAGCTCGAGCTCAAGAGATTCCGCCAGATGCCGCGATGCCGCGGATTTGGTCTGGTTCGACTTCCGTTTATAGTTGTATTCGATTGTAATTCTTGTTTCCATGTTATTTTTACTTTTGTTCTCATTTCTCTATGTCAGAACTCTGGATATTTCCCAATTTTAGGTTCGAACTCTGAACTTAAATGTTTTCCTTCCGGGTTCGAAATCCCATGTTGGAACCTAGGATTCAGGAAGCTCTTTCACTTCTGCTCATACTCTGTTTTTTGTTATTTTGCTAAATTCGCTGTAAAGCGGAATCTTCCAGCATTCTTCGTCTTGTCCGTGTGACAATGTGTGCAAAAAGACGTTTCAATAGATTTCCAAGGTGTCGCAACTCTGAGTTCCAACTCTATGTTCGAACTCTGGGTTCGAGACTCCATGTATGTTCGATCTTCGGATTTGGAAACTTCTGGGTTCGACAAGTATGTTCGAACTCTGGGTTCGGAAACTCTATGTTTGCACCCAGGGTTCGGGAACTCTATGCTCGAATCCCGATTTCGGGAACTCTATGTTCCAACCTGAATTTAGGTTCCAAAAGTTTGCTACCCCCCCCCCCCCATTGACCGACCTTTGTTGGGGGTCTCAGGAGCAATGAGTGGCAATGATGCATGGACAAAGGAGGGCCTATTTTTGTCGCCATTATTTTTTTGCACCTGTGGTTTTTTTCGCGTGTTTGTTATAGATAGTACTAGTACTGGTAATAGTAAAGAGTAATAGAGTAATACAGTCATAGACTAATAGACGAATAGACGAATAGACTAAAAGACGGATAGACGAATAGACTAGTAGACTAATAGACTGATAGACTAATAGACTAATAGACTAATAGACTAAACAAACTAAACAGATTAAAAGACGAAAAGACTAATAGAGTAATAAAGTAACAAAGCAATAAAGCAATAGAGCAATAGAGCAATAGAGCAATAGAGCAATAGCAATAGAGTAATAAAGAAAGAGTAATAGTACAAGAAAAGGTGCGCGCGAAGCGCGTGACCCGCAGGCTTTGCTCCATGATTTTATGCATTGGTAATGGTAATAGTAATAGTAATGGTAATAGTAATAGTGCTGCATAGTAATAGTAAAAGTAATAGTAATTAATAGTAAGAGTAATAGTAATAGTAATAGTAATAGTAGAAGTAATAGTAATAGTACTAATAGACGAATAGACGAGTAGACTAATCGACTAGTAGACTAATAGACTAAACAAACTAAACAGGTTTTAAGACGAAAGGACTAATAGAGTAATAAGGTAACAAAGCAATAAAGCAATAGAGCAATAGAGCAATAGAGCAATAGCAGTAGAGTAATAAAGAATAGAGTAATAGTACAAGAAACAGTGCGCGCGATCCGCGTGACCCGCAGGCTTTGCTCCATGACTTTATGCATTGGTAATGGTAATAGTAATAGTAATAGTAATGGTAATAGTAATAGTGCTGCATAGTAATAGTAACACAGTACCAGTAACAGTAGCAATAGCAGTATTAGTAGTACGAGTAGTAGTAGTAGTAGTAGTAGTAGTAGTA